TCTGCAGTTTCCACTTCTCTGAGTGATTTTACACATAAAAACGGCCACAGCACACCCTTTTGCCAAATTACACCCTTTTTTCGTGGGTGTAAAAATATTCTGATACCTGCCAAACAGGTTTTGTTCAATGAATGGGCAAAATAAAAATGCATAGACTTCTGTTATGTCTGGCATTTCAGACTCTTTTCCTTAAGTATATGCTAATTTATCATGTTTACGGGAATAGTGGCTCTTCAAAGACCCCACCCCATTAACAGACATTAGAGAGTAGGTCAGTCTGGTTCAAAACATTTACTCCATTTGTGTGAAATACATGTTACGAGACAAATAACACAGTAAAGAAGTAAAGTAGAAATTTAGTGACCCGTCTCAAAAAGAAGCCGTGCTATAGGATTCCTTCGAGTGGTGGAAGATTTGTGTTATGAGCAACTAGGAGCTCGTCGCTCGTGAGGAACAAGGAGGAAACAGCATTCCACACGAGTCTGGCATTCCTGTGCCCTGTTCTACGGCACGGCTAAATTAAGGGAGGAGGAGGGGGTGATAGCTGTGATTAGGACTCTGCAGTCCCAACTGCCCAGCATGAAGTTGTTCATCACTGATGAGCGATCAAGCATGGAGGAGGGTCGAGGAGACGGGTCCTATGAGGGCTGCCACAGACCCTAGAACCATTCATCTCACACTCGGCGCTACCACATCCAAGTTTACATGACCCACATATACACGCACAGCAAAGCTTTTCATGAAAACACAGACAGATGCTAATCTCCAACATAAAGCTCACATACGCACTAAAGAAAAGACAGGTCGTGTAATGAAGCCATGCAAAATTTTTACCAAAACAGCCCCCCACCTCCAAAACAAACAAATACTTCCCCGATTCCTCCCAGTCAGGTCTGGCCTTTGCTGGTGTTGACCGCAGGATGCTGTGGTCTCCAGGCAACATAGCTCACCTGCAGAGCTAAACAGGGAGTGTCACTCTGTGCAATAAAACAACAGCAGCGAAACACACTCTTGCTGATCTCAGAGACAAGATTACGCTTAACACCTATATGCAACACATGAGCCATAGCTACACACAACATAGACCTTACAATGCAGGAATCGCACACATTTATCTGAGAATCAAATGCAGTGGAGGAGCATTCTGGTAGATAGATGGGCATTTATGTGGGTGGCTCGGCAGTTGAGTTCTTGAGGGGCTTTCAGACCAAAAATAACGAGAAAAGGGAAGAACTGCTTGCCATATTTTTAACAAAGCCGAGCCTTCGAGCAGGGATGCAGATGGCAGAGTCTTTGACAAAGAAGAGCAAATCCTTTCAAAAGAGGAAAATAACTCCACTGCTCCATCAGGCCTGTGTAATCCTAGTTTCCTGCCAAACAACATGCCTTACACAGGAATCCTGAAGTTAATCTGGCACACAGGAAACCTTGTGTTAGTTTGTGTCGGCAAATCTGCACAAACAATTTTCCTGGCAAAATAGTGCAGTGAATTAAAAAAAACTGAGGTTTTTGTTAAGAAGACAAGCTTTTAAAGGTTTAAACATTTTAAGCTATTGGTTATCTTTTTTCTTACAGAAAGGCAAGCAAAAATAATGTTAGATTTGTGCTTCAATACACAACCAAGATAAGCTGAATCATTAAAACAAGAGGATAGAGGAAAACATCAGATGGCTGCCCTCCAAACCCAGCACAAAAAAAAAAAAATCTAGAGAAAAAAAAGAAATAGACAAGCACTAGGTTAAAAGCTAAAAACACAGAAAAATCTCCTGCCAAGTCACGTTTTAAAGAGGTCCATTACCACACTAAGGACCACTTTTAATTATTTATAGCGATATAAAGACACTGTTTTGTTAGAATTTGTAAACCGTTTCTCCATAATTTATGCATTTTTAGTGCTTTCTTTATCTATAGCTTTCAAACATTTAAAGTGTTTTAATAAGGTGTTTACCTGTGCCGTGGCATTTAAAGCCTACTGAAAAGATGGAAAGCCATCTTTCCATAGTCAGCCCTCGCATTCTTCTGCAGGTACACTGAGATGTTCTTGAATCAGCTGAGAGAAACTCCAGAATGTAATGGGCCACATCAAATAGGATATCCCCAAACCATCTCACCTGAAAGGCAACTATTTTTAACTCCTGTTGAAGGTACCTTCAACAGTAGGAACTTTAGCTTATTTTTACAGCAACTAGACCTGTTATGCTATGTTATGTTATGCTGGGGAATCCTGGGTTCATGATTTATCTTGGTCTACACCACACATGCACATATCCCCCTGTTAGGAGTCACTTTTCCCCAGATCTCTCCATACTCAATTGTGTATGTCTTTTTGTCTGACTCTTCTATCATACGGGAGAGCAGTAAAAAACCCTCTAAAACAAGTGCCCACTCATCCAGCTGAGCCCCTGGGACCCTCTGCCACCGTAAGAAACAGACTATAAAATAAAAACATCGCCATCAGTTGCTGGTCATACGGTCAGTGCGTTTGCAGCCTGAATGAGAGAAAAATAAAGACGCGTTGGTGACTGCTACAGGCTGACACCAATCTGCTGCTGGCACTGACTGACAGCAAACATGCAAACAGTGAAGAACAGACCCAGAAAACACCCCACACTAAGAGCAGATAAGAGAGTAAGCTCATTGATAAAGTCACGGAGGTGGGCGTTTTATAGCATATGACTTCAGATATAATGATTTTAGCACCGGATATGGAATTAATCTGTGAAATCAGCTGTTGTAGTGTTTGAACAACCTGCTAAGTCTTAACGCTTTTATGTCACATGAAAGAGGCTCTTGTTTTCAAGCAGCCACACTGCCACCGTCTATTTTCATTTCGGATTAATTAGCTGCAATCGGTTCAGTCAGAATTAATGGAATTGTGTCAGTACCAATGTCACGAATTTACGGGAAAATGCAAGTCACAATGCCCAAAACCCAAGAGGGTGATCTGAAGTTAAAAAAAACAAAATAAAATCAGTGCCTCCCACCTCACTCCCTCAGAAGAAGCTGTTCTTTTGATTCTCTTTAAACAATAATGTGAACATATTAAATGACATCATTTAAAATTTTATCTTCATATTATGAAAATTTTCCAAGTTACATGGTGTTTAAGTCCACAGGGGAAAATGTTGAAAATTTATGCTCTACAAAAAGCTCCATTCCCCATCTCTGGTCTTTTGTCACAGGAAGTATTGCCGTTCTCAACGTCCATATGTCACACTGTGCGATGATTCATACAATAAGGTGTATAAAGATGTGTTGTTGTGGCCTTATAAAAACAGTCGGTAAACAGCTTCGACATGACACTACTGCCTAATCTACTATATTGATTTGGTGCATTACTAGCTCTAACATCTTTCAGTCTTAACTTCTGCAGCGAAAGAAAACAACTCAGATGACATCCTGGCTTAATGCATCCCGATAGCAGAATCATGAGACCATTACACTGCAATCTCTCTTTGGCAGCATAGCTGAGATTCCTCAGCCGTCGCGTCAGAAATATTTCACATGCCTCTCTCTTCGAGATGCCAACCAATAATCAACACACATCACAGAGGTACTGAGGTGTGTCACACGGGTATGGCTGAGATGACTTGCACTACACGCTTTTCAAGTCTTGACTGATCTCCAATCTCTTGACTCCATCAAACAGAGGCAAAGTATAATTGAAACAACCGAGTAATCAATTATTTCTATCATGACAATCAACTGTGAAACGAAATGCTTATTTAGCATGACAGAAACTCAAAGACAATGTCGTCCACCTGGATATGTCATACATTAATGGACAATACATAGATGTCTATTGTTCAGGTCTTGTGCTGAAGTCTGTTTGCTAACTGACTTGGTTTAGGCTTTCCTTTATGTAAATATTAGATTATCCGGGGTTTTCCTCTATAGAAAACACGTTGGCGCCTATCAGAGAGCTTCTGACATTCCACAAAGGAAAATCACAGAAACTGTGATAAGAATAGGTTCAAACAGCATCTTTGCACTAAGCTTAAAATTGATTTTTGTTCAGCAAGTGGCCACAAATAGAAACAAAATGCTGGAAAGTTCAATAACACAGTCTCTTTACCCCTTTTTGAGCCAGGCAAAACCCTGATATTATAGTTCTGGCTACAGTGTGAACATCAAAAGTTGATAAACTGCTCCTAAACTAGTCAGAAACATTTATGATGGTTGCTGCTGTTTTTGAGGAAGCAGAATTGTAAACCAAAAGATTTTCCACTGCCAGCTCATGTGTCCTTTACTGTATGTGACACAGTTATAACCTGATTACAGCTTGATAATTTTTTGAAACAAAATAAAAAACAAATCTTTAGATTTAATTACTTTTATTTATAATGAGCTCATCATATCTGCATATAAAAGTGGTACATGGTTTCGTTGTTGTAACTAATATCACGTAAGTACTGGATAACAGAGGCTGAAAATAATAGGTCTACATTACGTTGTCTAACTGGAAAGGTATGAACATCACTACTTAATTTGGATTTTCAAAGCTCCTCAGTTATTGTGAAAGCTCAACAATTATTAGGATTTCCTGCTATCACATTGTGCCTCCCGAAGTGACACAAAAGCGGTATTTTAGGACATGTTGTGCTGCCAGAGATAGGACAAAATAAATGTAAAGACGATCAATAACAAGACGCCAAATCCTTATCAACTTAGATAGCAACTGTTAGCCCACTGCTGAGAGACTAGCTCCAAAGCTTTCATGCTGAGACAGATTTAACTAATTTAAACCACATGACAATTTCGCCGTGTAGCTGAAAAATTTCTCAGATACCACCGAGACTGACTTTTCGCAGGCGGAGCGCCTGGACAGTGTCACCTGTCCGCCTGCCCAAGTTTACCGAAACCCGGTGGTTCCCAACATTAGCCAGCCGTTAGCTGACTGAGCTAGTGTTAGCCAGCTTACTAGCCGTCTTTCCAACTGGTGCTAGGAAGTTATTCCCAATTGGATATATTAAATACTAAAATACATGGTTATTTCTTACCCTTTGTAGTAAGCTTTCACCCGGACTTGGTGGGAATTCTCGCCGGGGTGGGACATGGTGCTATCCCGCAACGTCGGCATCATAAGCTCAGCCGTGGACAGTCCGACTCAACGATATCGTCCTTCCTATCTACCTTGCTTCCTACTTTGGCCCGGTACCACGCCCTAAACTGTTAATCTTTACGGTCCGTCGACAAACCAAATGAATAACGAAGCAAGTGATGCCAAAAGCTGAGTATTTGCCCTTCTTTAGACAAACAAAAATAACAGGTAAAGTATAGAAAAACTTGCGGGGTCCGTCAAACAACTCCCCACTGCAAAGGCCTAACCACGGGCCAGTCCATTATCGGAATGTAACAGGGGCAGTGTATAACTTGGTATATTCGTTCCATCCTGAATTGTGTCTTGTTAAAACACAAAAACACACAATTTCACATTGATTTATTATTTATCGAGTATAACAAACCAGTGGGATACTGTCAAAAACTCTGAAACGTCAAATATAACTTTTGGCATCACTGGCCTGTACCAACTCAGGCCTTTTATGTAGGTAAGTGCTGCATTCGTGTTCAAACATTTAAGCTCGGAAAGGAAAGACCCTCGAGACATGTCGCGCATTCAAGCGCATTGGTTTGGAAAGAACAACAAAATTGACCGGTGACAAAAACATGTACTAAAAAAAGATAAAAATCTAATTTTAGAAACGAGTTAGCTGCTGTGATAAAAGGAAGGGGTGGGGGTTAAAATAACGTGAAATGCTTTGTCTTCTTTTAAATATAGAATATTCTTTTTAATTCAACTTAGATGTTTACTATATTTACAAACAGACTGAGTACAATTATTGGGGGGATGGTTGGGTTTTGTTTTGGTTTTTTTGTATTTTCTTTCAAAGTTGTTCCTCATAATCTACGTATAAGGGCATGTATGAGGTATGCAGTAGGAGTGACAGATGAGTTCAAGGTTAGGGTTGTCAAGATCCGGTTCATGCGCCCCTCCTGGGGCGGAGTTCTGGATTTCTCGCTCCTCAGCCAGTAGGACCACCTGGCTGTGCCTCATCAGACCTGTGCATTTCCTCAGAGTTCTAGACAAGTCTTCTATTGTCTGAATTCCTTTTTGTGTGAAATAAGTCTTTATGAAAAAAGTTTAGGACGGTCTCTCTTGGTTTTGCTTTTGAGTTCACTCGTTTTGCTCGCCTATCAGGCCTGACAAGGCCTGCATCAGGGATTAGGTTGATGCTGATGACAGGTTGATGGTAGTTTCTGTGAAATGTGTTTGTGATCTGTAGTGAGAGTAGGGAGCAGGTGGAAGAGAGCTTGGAGAGGTGGAGGTATGTTCTGGAGAGCAGAGGAACATCGAGTGTCAGGGTTGATTTGTGACAGAAGGAAGGGTTTGCAATGTGAACGAGAGAACTGCTATGATGTCTGGTTTGAAGATTGTAGCACTGACAAAGACAGGATGCAGAGATGAAGATTTTAAGCTTTTCACTGGGAGTGACAGGACTAGAAAGGAGTACATCAGAGGGACGGCTCAGGTCGAGCAGTCTGGAGACAAAGTCAAAGAGCTAAGGCTGAGATGGTTTGTGGATGTGCAGAAGAATAGTGGATATTTTTTTATTTTATTTTATTGTTTCACACATGGTACAGCAGTAATGCATTCCCATACACAACCTTCCTTTCAATTAAAGTAACACTGTTTCCATGCATGAAAAGGAGCAGGAAGAAGAATAAATTCTTATTGATACCTGCCCCCTATCTGTGATAATACAAGTAGGCAAATTACACTATGACAATTTTCTGCACATAATAAAACAAAACAAAGCAAACAGAACAATATACTCAACAATGAGCAATACCACTAAATATCAAACTAAAAGGATCATTTTTCTGCAATTAAATTCTATTCTTTTCAGCTTCTTCATATCGGTTTATCATTTTATTCTTGTAGCAGATTTTAAATTGAGAAACATTTATACAACACTTAAGATGATCACTGAGAGAATTCCAGTTTCTTATGCCTATGACTGTTGGACACATTTGCCTTTGTGTGGTTCGAGCAAACCGGTGCTTAAAATAAAACTTCCTTCTGCCGTCCCCATTT